AAAAAAAAACATGTGTTATTACCAATGAGATCAAACCAATGCATGCGATTGTTTAGCAGAGTGTTTATCTTGGGAGCTTGAAGACGTGTGGACTTCAACTCCCAGAATTCCCCAGCCGGCCACAAATATCTTCAAGCTGTCATGGTTCAGTAACACTGGTTTAGGAAAATTAACGCCCTCCACCTAAACCTCTCAGACACACATGTCTGGTAGCCTGAGAAACATTCCATAATTTAAAAAATAATCATATGCTGAGGTCACTCAGGATAAGTCTCTAGTAACTCCTAATCATGTGATGAATCTAGATTTAGCTTTTATTTTAATGAGCAGAAGAGATGCCCCTTCATGTTTTCCATTTTTATTTGCGGCTGGCGTTTCAGTTCTCTTTGTCGATTTGAATGGAACACCTGAAATGCACGGTCTCTTTTTTCAAAATTGACCCTGCTGCCTTTTCTATCTTCTTCGTGCGGATGCCATTCTAGAGCTTTCCCGGTATAAAAATCATGGTTGGAAGTACAGGTACGGGGGAGTCCTTCGAATTATGGCCACAATGGAGCCTGAAGAGTCTGTTGCTAAGCGAGACGGTTGTTGAATGAGCTTAGCCCCGGTTGACAACCTTTCTTGCCAAGGTTGTTAAGTGAATCTGGCTTCCCCATTGACTTTGCTTGTCAGAAGGTCCCTGTGATGGGTCCAAAGGGGCGTGGCACAAAGGCAACACGCTCAAATAAGCCACAAGAGACCCTTTATTATCCCCAATTTTGCCCCCAATGTCCAGGTTACCTTCAGCTGGAGAAAAATTCTCTCAGGAACAGCCTCTAACTGTAGAAAATTCAGTCCAAAACAAGGTGCATACAAACTGTAACTAAAAATCCAAACAAACCAAGCTGAAGTAATTAACTTGGTAGGGCAGGAGAAGGAATTTCAGGCTTGAAAGCACGGCTAAGCTCACACAGTTGGGAAGACGCCAGGAACACAGATAAGCCACGACGATACGAGATAAATCCACGTTTGCTCTCAACAGCTTGCTTGCTTTTTTTAATACACTGTGTTTCCAGCTGCAGCAAATGAAGGGAATCAGGGCCCTTTCCTCCCCGATAAGCCACACAACCCACATTGTTCCCTTCTCCGTTCCTCCCTGTGTGCCCTAGGATGAAGAGGGGGTGGGCCTGGGTCTTCCTCTGAACTCCCTCTCCCTTGCTTTGCCTCTCCCTTGCTTTGCCTCTCACCTGCTCTGCCCAGCTGGACTTTGCCCTTCCCCAGTTTCCTCCACAGCCAACGGAGCCACACTCCCACTCCCTGTCAGCTGTTCGGCTTCCCCCTCCAGGGGCATGACAGTCACCAAAGGGGATCATGTTGCGGAGTCACAACACTGTGACTCTGCAACACTGCGAGTGTCATAAACAGGAGTCAGTTGCCAAGCATTTGAATTTTGATCACGTGAGGCATGGGGATACTGCAACAGTCATAAGTGCGAAACCTGTCATAAGTCACTTTTTTCTGTGCTGCTATAACTTTAAATGGTCACTAAATGAACTGCTGTAAGTCAAGGACTGGCTGTATTTTACCTGTATGGAATAGAGTTGTTTGAGCCACACTTGTTGCTTCTTTTTATTAAATGATATTATATATTATATAATATATATAATTATATATCATATTATATTTTTATTATATGTGTTGATTCATATATATATATATATAATCTCCACAGCAAAGGCTGCAGTTATTAACATATTTTTGAGGGAAACAAAAAGGCAGCAGTATAAATGCTTTGGGGATTTTTCTTCTTTTAATCCTACAAAACCTGTGCTCTTTGAAAGATCACTGAGGAAGTTATTTGGTTTCCTAAATTGTACAGAATAAATATTGCAGTCTGAAATGAAGTGCTAAAGAACAGCTGAAATATACAAGTGTAGAGATAATGAGAAGCAATGTTATGCTTAAGAATTCTGAAAAGGAGCAGAAGGCAATGCTAGCTTGTAGTTGACTGGATAAAATATTCATCCATTTATACAGTTACTATTCGACAATGCTAATTTCTTATTTCCTTTTCTGGTGACTAAGAGTACTTTTTAAACATATACAGGAGCTATCATTCTCAAAGCCTTTGGAATATTGATGTTTATTTCACTGTTCAAGCTGTATAAACTTTGACACCAGCCAGAATTACTTTATTATTTATTACTTTTATAGCCCATATAAATTTCCAGTCCTTCCTCTTCACAAATCATGCAGCAACAAAAGTAGATAATGCGTATAATAGCTTAAGCATGGTATGAATCTGGCCTCTGTGGTTTGTAAATCATGGTTTACGCCTCAACCCAATGTGAATTCAGCCAACTGTGCCTTAGAAAAATGCTCAAAGATCATGGTTTATGGTGAGGTCAACATAACTATTGTTTATCCTACCACCATTCTGGACAGGAAAGTTTTATTATAGGTTGCTTGTTCTGGTTTTTCTTTAGATTTTCCCCACCTAGGAAAACTGTGAATGTCCTTGGCTTTCAAATATGGGCTGAATTTAAAAATGCAAGATTTAGAAGAAGGTCTAAAAAATATTACATCAACCCAAACAATATTTTTGGAAGATATACATGTATTTCATTAAAATAGGTTCATGCTTGCACTTTAGTAGTAACTCCACTCAACCGAGATGAAAAGATTGTTTTTATGAACTATATTAAGCTATATTATCAGAAAATC